AGTTTTTTTAGTGGCCGTCAAATGGGAGTATACATGTAAGCACCGGGTCTGAAATAGATGACAGGTAGGCACCGGTCACGTTATCCGCGCAGTCTTATCTTCACGCAGACAAGGCGCATGCTGGCCAGTGAAGTGTTAAATCACAACGATACTTTACAAATGTTAAAAATGTGGAAAGGACAATCGATTCTTATGGAAATGAAAATGAAAATGAAAAGTGGAAATGAATTAACATGCGTTTTAAAATCAATTGTAAATCCTCATTTTGTTATACGTAAGAACGAAACAAGTTACAGAAAACAAAAGTAAAACTAATATTACAAATGAATTAACTCACGGAGAAGCGGAAAGACGACAAGCGGACGATGAATGTACGAAAAAGCATCATAAACACAAGGTTACTATGGTTTGTTGAAAAATAAAAGTATGATAACGCTAAAACAAGCGTAACGTACGAAAAATTGCGGGATAGAATATGGCAAAACTAAACTGCACAACTGGTAACATTAGTGGTCTCGAATTTAGGAACGAAACATCACTTAACATACGAAGAAACTGACATACGGAAAAGCATTTAAAAGAGAGGGCTAATACTTTATAAACGACGCTGAGATGTCAAAACGAGACTCAGGGAGAAGAATGCAAAAGTAATGCTAATGCTTAACTTCCCTTTTAAATATAACTTCTTGGAAGTAGAACTGAGAGGATGTGATCATGACCTGCGGACAATGATCTAATATTTCCCGTTGACCGTGCGTTATTTTATATACTCGATACCTCACAAAGCTAAATATAGACCTGGTCACTTAAACGTCAATTTCCTAAACATAGCAATCAGTCATAGTGTTCATCTTCAAAGCCTTCATCATAATCCTCATTATCATCAACATCAGCATCAGGGAGATTTAACGCTCGGATGAAGCCTCAAAAAAAATGAAATCCATGAAATCCGGATTTCTATTTCTTAATTGAAATCCACCCTGAGGACGGATTTCTCGGAGGTGAAATCCGTTTTCGGATTTCACGTTCGATTGGGAAATCCGGATTTAGATTTTCAAAATCTAAATCCGGATTTCCCAATCCGCACCCTAGGCATTTTCACGTCGTAGTAGTGCAGTAACGGCAAAGAAATGTACAAAAAAGCGTGATGCGCGTGCAAAATAGTTGTTTTGCTCAATAAACCAATTGCTTTTTTGACGTTCTCGTTGCCGTCGCCGTCGTCGTTGCTAAAACTTTCTACTGACATTTCGCGAACGGAGAGTTTTCGCGCGTGTGTACTAGTACCAAATCTAAGGCAGATGTCTTTTTCCGACATTTCTTAGGTTTTGCACGCGAGTATTTCAAAATCACTTGAACCTGCTGCAGATGAATCTTTCATTTAGTTTGATGGATAGTCTTTGTGTGTTTCAAAGGTGTGCTCTTTTGGTTTAATTTAATGACGAAAGTAGCCGGGGGCCATGCTCTGAGTAGCCGGGGGAAATCCCCGGCCCCCGGCCCTTAGTGACAACCCTGCTAGTTAAAGCTGGACTTTAATCCTTTTTTGCCGCCAAATAGCCCGTGCTTTTCGGTACTAGTGGGCTATAACATATAGCCTAGTAGTAGCTCAACCAATCAGAATGCAGCATTGATATGTAATTAGTAGGAGGGGAATTGTACAGCTGGCAAGTTCTTTTGGTTCTACATAATGTATTTTACTTTTGTTTCCTATGAGAGTAGTTGGGGCTCACACTCACAGTCGTTGGCGGAAATCCCTGGTCCCTGTTTCTTAGTGACAGTCCTGACAGCAATACATGCACTGTATGTACACTGTACTTTCACATGAGCTTACAGTGCGACCGGGAACACCGTGAAGACTTGAAATATCTCAAGAATGTTTATTGTGTTATGACTAATAATCACAGCAAAGATCAGGACACGTGAACTGGCCACGAAACCACAAACTAACTAACATTCTTGCTTGCAGTTTAGTTTTCTCACGCCTGATTGGCTTTTCTCTTGCAAGACAATAGCATTCCAGAAATATTTCTGGTGTTCATGGTTTTCCCAGTTTAACTGTATTTATTTCTTTCCAGGATCTTGTTCATACTATATTGTATGGTAATAAAAGAGCTAAATGGACAATTAAAATGAGGAACTCTTTCCCTGTTTCTGCGACAAGTCCAGAAACCTTGTGATATCTGTCTTTTTGAGAACTTACTTCTTTGCCTTGTAAGAAGCAAGCTCTTCCTGAAGAACTAAACAAAGCTGACTGCTGTTAATATCTTCAGCATCTTTCTGTTCTGCTAAAACACTGCAAAGGATTCTATTGTAAACAGAGAAAAATAGAAAGACAGGTAAGACATCACATGACGTATTTGGACGAACAGAATCTCATACTTTTTAGAAAAGAGCACCTCACTGAAGTATTCATGCAGTTGTAATAAAATATGACATATTCATGTATTCTCAACCAGTGGTGCGTGTGTGGTTTTTTAATCAAAATTAATTTTTTAACGAAAATTCATGACAAACCTTGATCTTTCAGCTTGTTTCTTTTCATCTTGCATACTTTTCACCAGTTCATGTTTCACTGTGGTCCATTGTTTGATCTGCTGCCTCAAGACATTTGCATCAGAATCAGTTTGAAGTGCCATGAAAACCTGAGTGGTAGCTGTTGTCAGTGCACCAGCCATCTGTTTGGCTCGTCGCTGACAGTCAGTCAGCAGTACAAATTTTGTTAGGAGCTTCACCTAAAAGAAATCAGTTATATTATTAATGATGGCGTGACAGGACAGATTACTGTAAGACCCATCTGGTGGGTTAACATCACAAGTGTTTGCTTCCATTTCTCAGAAAAAAGGAAAATCCTTGATGTGGCATTTTATGCACAGTACAAAAAAATGAATCACAAGTATTTAATACCCAATATGAAAAAAATGATTGGTGAGCACTAGTATTATACAAAGGATAAATTTGGTAATCATCTCTATTGGGGCTTGTCAAAATGGTACATCATTTACCTTGTGGCACGAAATTTTTGCGGGTTCTAATTTTTGCGATTTTTCCAGCACACATTTTTCCTGCAAAAAATTTCTCCACAGTAAATATTTTGCAACTTAAAATCTTCCAATCGATCATCAGAACAATCAAGTCATCCCAGATGTTACTTTAATTGAATGACAAAGAAAAGTAATCTGTTATACTGGTTTTACATACAGTGTAGGGTACACAAACTGTAGCATTGTTTGTTCCCGCAAAACACAAAAGTTGCAAACTCCCACAAAAATTTCATGCCACACAGTATGTTAGAAAAATTACAAGGCTTAAGGCCATATTACCTCCACAATCCTTGTAAGAATTTCCTCATCAGTCTTGCCATTAAAGCACAATACTCGCAGCTCTTCACAAGCAATAGCTAACAGAGGAACTCCTTCAGTAAAGCAATCTCTCTGATATGACACACAGCCCAAATTGTACACATTGCAGCCTAGCCAGCGGAGCTCGTTTGGAGACAATGGGATGTCTGGATCATCAAGGGCAGAATGAATTACAGAGTTTGCGAGTTCCACTACTGGAATACAGTCCTTAAAGATCTGACATCTGCATAGTGTAAATAAAGAATGTGTTAACATTAACAGCACAGTAAACTCTCTCAAGATTGATACCCAGTAACATTCGCCTCTGTAGTTCTTTGTAAGGGTCCACCAACAGCTGTACATTCATTCATTCCCCTATTCTTTATAGATATTCTTACTAGATTTCTCTTAGTCTCTTTCCAAGGACCTTCTCACACCCAGACTACTTACGGTACATCTTCCCCAAAATGCCATCTTGTCAGAGATATTGCCTACAGTGTACATCCCCATTTGTGTGTAACACAAAGACAAATTCTAGAGATATTATTTTGTAATTTTGTTTCAAGAATCGGTAGGCTGATTGGCAAGAGTTGAGGATACTGGATATGCAATAAAAGTTTGAGCAGTGTTACATGTATAATGTTATGGTTCAAATTTATCCTTGGTTTAAATTTTATTTCCAAGGGTGCAAAGAAAGTCATTTTTACAGCTTGTCATTTGGGCAAGCTGAAGCTAGCATTTATTAGCCCAAACGTCATTTCAACTAGCCCCTCAATTTTTTTGATGAGCAGAATTGATTTCACAGTTCTTCTGTAAGCTGAATTCCTCAACATACTTCACTTGCCCATCGGGCAAGTTAAGAACAGAATTCACTAGCCCAATGCCAAAATCCACTAGCCGTGGGCTATCAGATGCTACTTTCTTTGCACACTGTTTCCCTTTGTTTTTCACTCATTTTCATCAATTAATATGCCCCAAAACAAAGAGAAATAAAAGCGCAACATAATCTTTTCATTAAACTACAGTGTGTACACTGTAGTTAACTGTTTTAAAGTTTTGCGATACCTGTACTACTGACCTTGAATCCCTGATTGAACTTTTTGCATCTTTTTCATTCTTCAACTGATCTTGATATGAAGAAATAACAAAACTAAATACTGTCATTTGCCGTTCTGTGGTCTTTAGAACCTGTTGTTTTAGCTGTGCCACGACATCGTCATGTTTGGATTTAAGCAGCTCTGATTTAAGCCGCTCACACTGCAAAAATAAGACTGAGATGTAAGACTGCAGCACTTGTACTGTTGCTTGGAGAGTCTTCAATGAAAGAGTGGGTGATTTTTCCTTACTCTTTTTGCTACTTTCATTTTGCAAATGAATTCTGAAGTACTCCAGGGAGTCTGAAAGTAATTTTAACATTGGTGAAGGTAATGTGCTACACCTCAGGATCTGGGAGATTAGCCGGTTACTTTCGAATAACATCTGCTGAAGAGATTCTTGAGTTTGAGATTTTATAGTAGAGTTCAACAAAATAGCTGCCTTGCAGACTAAACACACACAGCAACAAACTTGTGAAGGTATTTGTAGTTTAAAATGTCCATTTTTGCAATGGTTTTCATTTCCTGCAGTTTTCAACAGTTTATCAAACACAGCCAAAGCTTCTGTTGAGTTTCCAGCCTTATTACAAATTCTGCCATAATGAAATCCAAGTTCAGCCAAGAGAACTGTAAAATTCTCGTCCATTTGCAATCAGTTGTTCTTGCTTGTTCATGAGTGCACTAAAAATGGTTTTAAAGAAGCTTGCTAAGCTTTTAAAATCAACATTCTTGAGCCCACAATCCACTTGAAATTTTGTCCCACATTTCAGAGTTCTATCTACCAAGGATTTTACTGAAGAATGTACATTTGCTTCTGCTTGAAAAAGTAATGAGAGCTTTCTCCATTCTAACACAACACACAAGTGAGATGGTCTTTCCCCTGGAGGTACTTTTGCTTCCTCAAGCTTCCCTACTCCTTGAAGTTACAAATCAGATGAACGTAAACAAAGTGATCCAATTTCCTTGTCCATCTTTTCACTGTTGTAGCTCTTCCATGCCTTAAGAAGCTGGATGAATTTATATAGGTCATTAGCATGATCCAGAGCCCTTTCAAACTGTGCCTTGGCAATGAGCTGAGCAACAATAAGGTAAAGTGTTTTAGCAAGCTGGTCTACTGAAGGAATAAACTTCAGGTAGTTTCCATGATGGAGTGATAAAGTGTTGTTGAGAACTGTCCCCACTGAAATATGAACAGAACAATTTGCAAGTTACATGTAACTTTATAGCCCTTTATTAATCTCACACTTAAAGCAAATGTGGTTTGCTTATCGGACAACTTATATTTGACCCATATTTAAGCCTTACTGGCTCTGGATTATCAGATAGCACTTTGCTGTGCCCTGCTTACACCATGTTGAAAATGCTATTTCCTTCCACTGTGAAATGTGTTGTATCTACCTGGGAGTCCCAGACCATAAGTAGGTTGTAACGTTTTACTCCTCAGTGAAATTTTCCTTTTACCTTTTTGCAGATGACACAAATTTGTTGTATGCCGACAAAAATCTTAAATCTCTTGAAAAAATGGTCAATAACGAACTGGTCAGAGTCTCGGACTGGCTCAATGCAAATAAGCTAACATTAAATGCTAAAAAATCAAACTTTGTTATCTTTTGTCCTCACCAACGTAAGATGGACCATTCGGTCAATATTCCAATTATTGTTGATAATAGTAATCACATTCTTACTTCCCTTGAGTGTAAGGATCATGTAAAATATCTAGGTGTCTTACAGGATAGTCATTTGAGCTGGAACTACCACATTGACAATGTAGCACTAAAAATAAGTAGAATTTCATTAGTAAGGTTTTGAAGCTGGTCCCATTTTAAGAGTAAGCATTAAGCTTATTTTAGGAACTCAGAAAAGACCTTACTCCCAAACAGCAACTAAAGATGTTCACATGCTTCATCTTACCTAGTTTCAAGGCATCTGTGACCTCAATAAGGTCATTTCCCTTGGCTTTTACATTTTTCAAGGTCTCTATAGCACACCTTAGGAACTTCGTACAAAAAACGGCGTACTTTGATACAGTTTCCTCTGTGGCTTTGCCTCCTGCTTGGCAGCCATTTTTGTTCTTTAGCGGACATTGCAGTGGAGCAAGATAATTCTGCAAGTTCCACCAAACAATATTAAAAACAACATATCAAGGGTGAAGGCTACCCCATTTAAAATATGGAGTTAAGAAAAATGAGAGGCTTCGGCAAAAAAGACGTCTAAAATAAGTGTAATTTATTAAGTTGAGGATCGCTTTCAAGTGACACTCATTCTATGACCTGCTCATGAATGTAGATGCGCGCGATTCTTGCAATTGAAGCTAGAGTGTAACAAGACGCTCGCTTTGAAATGAACTAAATTTTTATTCAAGGAAACGTTTTTGAAAGTGAGTAGCCTTACAAATCGTAAGTACCTTCGCTAACTGAGCTACAAAGCGTCCTCAATTAAGCTACCATAATTTCTCAGCAGCTTAAATTTAGCAAACAGCTAAGTTTGATCAACTTACCTTCGTATCCTCATAAAGACCATCTATCTCTCTGTTTAGAAGTGATTTGAGGATTCTTTGCCCTTGCATGTTTCTGTAAAGCTCTGCCCATTACCAGTTCGTTTATAACATAGTGTTTTACAGCACACTTTTGATGGTGAAACTCATCAAACGACTCAAAAATGGCGCCTTCGTCCTTCTGCCAAACAACGCTCGTCCCCAGGGCACCGCGCATTTCGAGAACATTGTGTCGTGACGCAACGTGCGTGACGACTCAAAAGTTGTGTGACGACTGAGCCATCCTGTTGTTACAGGCTGATTAAGACTTTTTTGGTCTTGTCAGCACAATTTTTGGTTTAAATAACATTCGACTCTAATTATAGTCACTTTCTTAACGTCAAATCAGGAGCCTCGAAGTTCTTCCCGACTAGCAGCAAAATTTTCAACTCGGTTTTTTCCAGTTTGTTTTTATTAAGGTTAAGTCGACAGGTTAAGTTTATTGTTTTGCCATCAGTTTTCAGCTAAGTACAAAAATATATAACTTCTATGTTGTCCTCGCAAGGTGGGGCCTTTTTTGTAAAAATGACGAATGTTTGGGGGTTGAATCTCAAACGTCCGAGATCGTTCCCGGCCCGTTCGCTTCTCTTCCTCAGGCTCAGGTGTCGGTTACTCAGAACAGAACATATCCAAAAAAGAAGAAAAGCTAAGAGCCTAGATGGAACTTACACGAGAAGTCTGCAAATGGTGAAAAATATATTCTGGAAAGACAAGCAAAACACCTGCAAGGGCTGCAAGAGGGAGGTAGTCCGACAACTGCCTACATAAAGACATTGCGGAGGGATATTGGCAGGGAGAACGTTAGAGATCTTGTAGCCCTAGGTACAAATATCACCTAAAATCGCCTAAATATGTTTCTGGAAATTCCCAATTTTTTTCTACATATCTGGAAAAAGTTCTAAAAATCTCAAAAATATTTGGCTTCATTTCACAAATAGTACAGTAAAAACACCAAAAATTAGCCTGTCACCTGAAATGGCAACACAAATTTCAGGAAATGACTTTTTTGTATACAACATACAACAAAACTCTAAACAACTTCACATAAAGTTGGCCTTATTTCAGTACCTCGCAGCCTCCAAGAAGACTAGGGCGCTGCACTTCAGTACAGGGAGCCACCTGAAAGACGATTTGGTGCTGGAGGTCTAAAGCGGTCCTAAAGGGACACTACTGTTTCTTCCCGTGCGTGACTCAGAGGGAACCTCATTAGGAACTGTACGAATTACTGTAGCTGATCTTTCAGCATCAGTCATTTTGTTAAACATTAGCCACATGACATATATTACTAGCAGTTTCCAGTGGCAAGTGAAGTGCTGGGAGTAAATAAGGCAAGACATTTCAAATAATTTGCATCAGTTGCAGTTTATTTAGTCTGCTTTAGTGTCGTCACGCAAAGTACCTCCCCACTTGATCAATTAAAAATAAAATACAACAAAGCCTGGCTGAATACAAATTTAGACAAAACACAGACTGAGAAACATATTGCTTCAATTTTTGGGAATTTTACCTTCACTTGCATTCATACTCTTCGCTTGCAAAAACGTGGCTTTCTAAACGAAACAGGATTTCTCCCGGGGTCACACCCTATTTGGGGTTCTGAGTGTTCTTTTGTTTTCTTTCTCAATCGGTTGACTGCGAACGAAAGAGCCTCGATTTCAAGGGCCGTACTTGAAATGGAGGCAAATGCGGTGCTATACATACAAAAGCATATCTCGGCTCGATTACTAGCCGCTGTTCGGTAAATGAGCCCGCGCTCCTTCTCCTCCTGGGGAGGACCGAGATAGCGGCGGAAATAGAGCCTGGCTGATGTCGTCAACAAACGAATACCCATCCTCGGAGACCCAGAGGCAGATAGTGGGGGCGAGGGAAAGTCTAAACGGGCGGGAAAATAAGGCACGAAGAAAAGTAAAGAACGGCGAGAAGAGCCCCTGGGGACAATGTCTTACCAGACCAGTTCTAAACGGTCGCCGCCGTTCTGGCTTCTGATTGGTGCCAGAAAAACACAAGTTTTCTTTCCCTCGCCCCCACTATCTGCCCCTGGGTCTCGGAGGATGACGAATACCTAGAATTCTTGTTTTCTTAATATGGATTGTAAAACCTTCCTGAAAACGACTACTGGAACTTTCTCTTAGTCTCATAATAAAACATATGTAAAACATCTGCAAACACTTATAAACAGAATCGCCAAAAGGCGATTTTAACAGGGCTGCCAATTTTCCTGGGGAAGGGGGTGGCTGCAGACTTAGGCCACCAGGCTTGTCGCTGACCATTCCGTGACGTAACATCTCATTTGCGAGTTTTAAAAACAGTTACTCATTTGAACATTTACCCTTTTGGAAGATGTTACAATATGTGTGATTTTATAATCATTAATTAGGGTTACACTTGGATCTAATGTCACCTTTTGATATACTCTGAATTGTACTTGGTCGTAATAAATCGAACCTAAACAAGAGACTTTCGTAACAAGAAAAATGGGTACCATTTTTTAGTCGGGGCTGTTTAGTACCTTTTCAAACTCCACCAATATGAATGAAAACTGGTAATAGCTGACACCACAGCTGTCCCTGTTCTAGCCTGTTTTTAATAAGGCTCCAAGATAGTGGTTAAAAGTCGTTCAGTAAAAAGAAATGCGAAAAACGCGCCGGGGGCTGGGAAGAGACCGCCCCCTTTCCCAAGTCGCGCGCGTCTTATTTTCGGTTTGGGGGTTTTAATACGTCCACACTATATAGTATCAGAGAGCCTGGCACAGGCTACGCCCGATCTGTATGCTGTCAGTCAATAGTATTCTTGGTCTTTGTGTAGCTGTTTGACATATACCGATTCATTATGAAGATTTCATTCACACATATTCCATACAATAGGTGAGATAAAAACAGGAAATGCAAGGTTCCAAACACAGTTTCAGTTCGATTTACACACCTTTGATAAAAACATTCTCGGTTTCGAAAATAGCTTATTCTAAACCATCAGAGAAGATTTAAAGTTCATTTTATTTGCCGGAAAGTAAGCCCCCGGCTTAGAAATTAAAAGGACGTTTGATAACTTCACGCTCGCCCATTCTTTTCTTATTTTAAACTTTACAGCGGAAGGACATCTGTGAGGAGGGAATAAGCACAGAATTTGGTTTTCGGCGAATTTCTGCAATCCTCAATCGTTCTGCTAGTGCTATGCTAGCGGTTCACTTTGCTCATCTTCCTTGTTTGGGGCTGAGTCTTATTCCAGTCAAAGCTTTTTTGTACATTTCTCTACAACGTGAAACTGCCTAATTTCTCGTTTTGTCGAGGACGGGAACAAACGGACAACAACTTTCTTTTTCTTTTCCTGAACTTTGATGCAGTCCTTTAGAATTCCACTCCAAAAAAATTTGAAAAAGTAAGTTTTCATAATTTCGAAAACAAAGACCCCTCTTAGTTTTCGTTATTACGAAAACTAAGCCCCCCTTAAAAATCAATCCGTAATACATATATGAAGTCGAATTACGACCGTTCAAAGACTATAAGCCGTAAAACAACCAGAAACTATCATCCGCATGCTGATGATCCGCGTCTTCTAAAAATTTGCAGACATGTTATTCTTGAGGCTTTAAAAAGAGGACGAAAAGCCATAGACTACCTGTGCATAATTGTACGCCGCCAACTGGTCTACAATTTTGGTTTATCCTTAAAAATCGTAAAATTGGCTTTCCACGTGCTAGAGATGGATTTTTGCCTTCGTGTCTCTGCGACCGTGATTGCGTTACCTAAAAATCACCCTTTTGTATGTTTGTTTATTTTATTTTTTCTGAAATTAAAAAGCAAAATTTTCGAGATGATACCTTGCTAGTACAGGAAACTTATTCATTCATTCATGGTTATTAAATAAGTGTTTTTAGCCAGTATTCCTCACAGACTATTTCTCCTTGCCTCCAACCTACCCCTCAACTACCCCTTACATTGTAACTTTTCACCTGTTTCCGGTGATCTCCGGGGTGACAGCGATAAAAATAAACTCTTAAAAAACGCAATTTAGTACGTACTCTTTTATTCGCCCTTTTCAAGAAAGCATTTTTCTGGCTATGGGCTGGCCAGAAAAGAGAAAAAAACCCAGTATTTTTGTGTTATGTTTAACCGATAATTAACCACTTGACTTATGATTCCGGTAACGCATTCAGGGTCTCAGCAACATGTCAGCGGGCAACGAGGGCAAAAATCCATCTCCAGTGGAAAGCCAATTTTACGATTTTTAAGGATAAACAACTAAAATTAGAGACCAGTCGACGAGGTAGGCATATTTTCAGTGTACAATTATACACAGGTAATGGCTTTCATGCTCTGTTTTCTGCAAATAATTAAAAGAAGCGGATCGTCAGCTCGCGGATGACAGTTTTTGGTTGTTTTACGGATTATAGTATTTGAACGGTCGTAATTCGACTTCATATATATTTTACGGATTGTTTTTTTAGGTGGTCTTAGTTTTCGTAATAACGAAGACTATTGGAATGGCATCATTTTCTATTGGTACCAATCGTACCATTGGTACCAATGGACCATCGGAATTGCCCTGTACCCAGCTAGACCACATCAGAAAATAATCTAAGTCCCCTAAATGAGATGCATATTCACCAATAGAACCATGGGAATGACATCCTTTTCTATTAGTACCAATCCTACCATTGGTACCAATGGACCATCAGCTTGACGAATCGTATCCGTTTGTGTATATTGGACATGTTTGTTTTCGAAATTACGAAAACTAAGACCCCTAAATTTACCGTTAAATTCGACCTAAAACTCGGTGGAAAGAATCGGAGAGATAATATGACAGATCAGACCTATTTCGATTACAATTTGACTTCATATTTCGACGGATTTGATTTTAGGGGGTCTTAGTTTTCGTAATCTCGAAAACTAAGACGGGTCTTAGGTCTTAGTTGTCACACTCTGGTAACTGACCAGATTGTTACGTCTATGACCACGTGTATATGCAGAGCTGAGAAGTAAGTTTCTTGTTTTTCGGTTCTAAAAAAAGAATTCGTGATAGAAATAACGCATTTTTGCTGCCCCAGCTATATTTATCGAAAATGCCGCTTGTATCTGTGTCGGTTTTTTTTCTCTTTTTTCATTCGCGGTGGAAATAACGGAATGCGATTGATCAGGGTGGCAAAAGGGGGGTATCTATCACACATGACGCTGACTTTTTTAAAACCATCACGCATCACGTAAATGGGGTGAAAATATTGCAGAAAGTTTTCATGGCAATATCTCAACCCATCGAATAGTCGACCCCGGCTATATAAAAATACGCACAACTGATCGATCATGTAACAACTAATCGATTTTAGTCACAACTCAATGAAAATACGCCCAACCGATCGATCATATAACAACTTAGACTGCATTTTGCGTATTCAAGTACGCGCGAGCAGTCAAACAAAAGGTCTGGAACGAGGATGAAAACAGAGAGAGAGACTAGGGAGAGACGCTAAAAATTAGCACAATATAATATTATTTTAATTGATCGATAACTGGTCGGTAACTCCGATCAGCAAAACTGATTGATTGGAGTTAATAGTAAACTATTAAGAGAGTGTTCTTAATGATGACGACGAAAAAGCAATAATGAAAAGATCAAGGAGTCCTTCTTTCTGATTTTAAGCGCTTATATCTCTGACATGATTCAGAACAGAAAAAGATTAAAAATTTAATGTCTAATTTAGCCTTTTTGCTTTCAAAGTGAAAAAGGGCCAGTTTTTTTCTAGCCTGAATTTCAGACGTAACGTCGAGTCGATTTTACCCCCTCAGTAACGTCGTTGTTGAGAGGAGAATACGCTAAGCTGTTTCATCAGTTAAAGAGAAGATTGTGCTCTTATTAAGCTAACGTTAACCTAGTTTGTACAAAATTGATGACAATCATAGCGAGAGTAACTGTAATCCTCACCTATTTTACTATCATTTTATACTTACAATATTCTCCCACACACGCCCGCTACTCTTTTACCCACTTATTCTATCAGTGGAGGGGAGCTCATGTATTCCCAAAACCCGGAAAGCCACAAAGATTCATATTATGGCGCGCCGTTTGTTTCAAAATTAATTTTTTTAAATTGGTTATAAACATTTACTAATTCTTGAGGATGAAGTCGCCTTTTACTTGGGGTTCCCTCTTGTCACTGTCGACGGTTGTGCAGCTTCCGGTTCGTACTCTATTTCCTTTGTTGTATACGAAGAAGATTGCCTCAGTGTTTTCTTTGATTCGAGATAAGCCTCTGTGAGCTTTCCTGTACCTGGAACAGAACTGCCACCAGGTGCATTTCCCGTTTCGTTAGTTTTTTGCGCAGAGCTTATTTCAAACTTAAGATGTTGCTTTTTCCTCTCCGCTTTATTCTTCAAGAGTTCCAGTCTTCTGGCATCCTTTTCATCAGCTGCAACCACACTAATATCAGCTCCAAGGTCAACAAGCTTCTTTACGGCCTGTGAGTTACCATGTCTCACGGCCAATTAAAGAGGAGACAAACCGTCTGCGTCATGGATGTTTATGTTTTGTACCCCATACTTCAGCAGGAGATCGATTATCTTACTGCAATCATTGTTTCCACGAGCTGACAGGTGCAGCGGTGTACGTCCATCGTAACCTTGAATATTTACATCCGCGTTATGTTCAAGTAACAGTCTACTGAGGTTTTCGTTACCCTTTATAGCACTCCAGTGCAAGGGTGTACCTCCATCATTATCTTGAATATTTACATTCGCGTTGTGCTCAAGTAACAGTCTACTGAGGTTTTCGTTACCCTTTCTGGCACACAAGTGCAAGGGTGTATATCCCCATGTATCTTGAATATTTACATCCGCGTTGTGCTCAAGTAACAGTCTACTGAGGTTTTCGTTACCCTTTCTGGCACACAAGTGCAAGGGTGTATATCCCCATGTATCTTGAATATTTACATCCGCGTTGTGCTTAAGTAACAGTCTACTGAGGTTTTCGTTACCCTTTCTAGCACTCCAGTGCAAGGGTGTAACTCCATCATCATCTTGAATATTTACATCCACGTTGTGCTCAAGTAACAGTCTACTGAGGTTTTCGTTGCCCTTTCTAGCACTCCAGTGCAATGGTGCAACTCTATCATTATCTTGAATATTTACATTCGCGTTGTGCTCAAGTAACAGTCTACTGAGGTTTTCGTTCCCCTCTACGGCAAACCAGTGCAAGGGTGTATATCCATCATTATCTTTAATATTTATATCCGCGTTCTGTTCAAGTAACAATCTACAGATGTTTTCGTTCCCTTTTAAGGCACACCAGTGCAAGGGTGTACATCCATCATTATCTTGAATATTTACTTCTCCGTTGTGTTTAAGTAACAATCTACAGAGGTTTTCGTTACCCTGTCTAGCACTCCAGTGCAAGGGTGTAACTCCATCATTATCTTGAATATTTACATCCGCGTTGTGTTCAAGTAACAATCTACAGAGGTTTTCGTTACCCTCTCTGGCACACCAGAGCAAGATTGTACATCCATCATTATGTCGAATATTTACTTCTGCGTTCTGTTCAAGTAAGAGTCTACTGAGGTTTTCGTTCCCCTCAAAGGCAAACCAGTGCAAGGGTGTATATCCATAATTATCTTGAATATTTACATTCGCGTTGTGTTCAAGTAACAGTCTACAGATGTTTTCGTTTCCTTTTAAGGCACACCGGTGCAAGGGTGTGTATCCATCTTTATCTTGAATATTTACATCCGCGTTGTGTTCAAGTAACAATCTCAAGAGGTTTTCGTTATCCTCTAAGGCACAATCGTGCAAGGGTGTATATCCCCATCTATCTTGAATATTTACATCCGCGTTATGTTCAAGTAACAATCTACGGAGGCTTTCGCTCCCCTCAAAGGCACACCAGTACAAGGGTGTATATCCATCTTTATCTTGAATATTTACATTTGTGTTCTGTTTAAGTAACAATCCGGCGATGTTTTCATTACCTGCATTGACAGAAGCGTGCAGTGGCGTAAACCCATTACTAAATTTGACATTAACATCAGCTCCATGCCTTACAATTAAGCAAGCTGCCATGTAGTTGTTCCAGTCAGCTGCTAACATTAGTGGTGTTTCTTTGCTTACTCTCCTTTGGGCATTAACGTCGGCCCCAAGATCAATGAGGGTCTCAATGAACTGACTTGAGGATGAACGACTCGCCCTCAGCAAAGCTGTCCAACCATTGTCTGATCCTGAGGCATTAATATCTACACTGTTATTTAATACAAGTTCAACTGCTTGTTCCGCATCATCATTGCATGTACCCCACTGCGACTCAGTTAGTCTCCTGTTGTTCTCAGCCAATGTTTTATAAAGTCTTTCGATACTATAATGATCTGATTTTGTTCCCTTCACAAATGATAGGATGTCAATTGCACTTTTATCTGGAAATCCTTTGGCGTTATTTCCAGTTTTTGTATATTCCATCTGTTCTAAAAAGTTCTCAAGAAGGCCAGTAGCTTTTAAAACAATGTCGTATTTTCCCTCTAAGACAGCCGCCTGGAGCATATTAAATCCAGATTTTTCATCCACTTGCAGGAAAGCTGTTCTAGAGATTTTTTTCAGACTGACCTGTAAGGAGATAATTATTTACAGTATTGTTACATCGAATTATAGATGCACATAATCGATCAACGGGGTTACACTAATCGGCCTCGGCGGATAACACCCTCCTCGATCTCCATAATCCTTCTGATGACACTCAGCCTCCTAACTGTTAATTATTATTCATTCAGAATAAATCTCCATTTCTGATTGGCTCAAATCCCCCAGCTAATCAGCCAACGTTGACCAAATTTGGAAAACGCTTGCGGGTTCCTGTACCAACGACTTCAATAGCACAGGATACCGTCAGAAAAAGCATTATTAAAGCGCTTTTTTTGTATAAGTAGCAGCACCATAACAATAGACATTTATCATCCGAATAAATTCGGTAAGCGTCAATAATTACTCAGAAATGAAATGTACAGTTGAACCTAGCGACCAGTAATCAAAGTCTTGAAGTAACTGTAGAAAAGTGACTGCGGCCACCATTTTGCGCTTGATACTTGATAGTTTGGCTTCACAATTTTTTTTTAAAAAAATGATGAAGGATGATACAGTCCGAGATATCATGTGACAACTGATTGTGGACCAGTAATGCTGCTTCAATCGCGTGTAAATAAAGTTATGTTTCTGCTAAAGAGTCTGCTAACATGTGACGAACCTCTGTTGAGCGGCCAACCTCCATTAAGAGGCCACTTCCCAGTACCCCGCGGGTGGCCGCTTAATGGAGGTTCAACAGTACAATGATGTCCAGACGGACGCAACCGACTTTATAAACTTAATGTTAGTGCAGACAAGAAGAAATGTAAGGTATCTGAAATAGCAGCGAGGAAAAATTTCATCCGATTACGTATAGGTTCTACTGTAACATAATCCGTAGAGAGACCTTCGTCTGATAGAAAGTTCGATCGATAAGAAGGACATACATATACAATCTGATATCTTACTGGTTGATGAAGACTTGGCTTGGCATCATTTTTCAACAGCAACTGCACTATGGAGTGGTGTTCTCGTCGTTCAGCTTTTTGCAGAGGTGTACGTTGAAACTAAAAAAAAAAATTTAAGCAGAACAAGTACGTGTTACTTGCCACTTACTAATTACGAAATTAGATTCTTAGCGAATAATACTAGGCAAACAAAAACTTTCTTTTGCCATGCCTTCCTTACGGCAATAAATAATTGTTTAAGTTAAACAAAATCACTAAGTCACCTTGTCTTCAGCGTTGACGTTTGCACCACGTTTCAACAACAGATCGACAACAGTTTTCTGTCCGTACCAACAGGCAAGATGTAGAGGAGTCAAAGAAAACTACCAAAAAAGTACAACGTAGTTAGATAAGGTTTAAAGAGCAGGGAAGAAAAAGGTCTTACAAGTTCAAACAAAATCTAAAACTCTATAACTTTTAAACAACACAAATTTATAATTAAGTGGACTGAAAGTGACCGTCCGGGTGGTTGTAGTTCTGAACAGGATTGTTGGGGAAAGTAACCGATGTTTCAACAAACTGTGTGGAAGTCGTAATTAGACCTTTTTTTTTGAATAGCGCAGAAGTTGTCGGAATGACTGTCAGTGTCAAGAATCAGCCTCATCGAATCACCCACGCGACCCCTTTTCTATCTTTTTTAGGCAAGACTCAGTTTAGGCATTTGGGTTCAAACAAATCAAATTCAAAAGTTACAGAGTTGCACACTTTAATATCACGTTCTTCATACGCAGAACCAAATAAAATTGCTCAAAATCTTTAGTAAAACGAAAGATGGAGGAGGAGAACTGCAAAATGAAACATGGAAGCAATGTTTGAGTCTAATTTTTTTACTTTTTTCCTGTCCGTCTGTTCCCCAGGTCGTTCCCTGTTTTAGTTAAGTCCTCTCGAGAGGAATGTTTCGTACCTAGTTTAAAGATACAGGTAATGAAAGAGAATCCGAAGATACATCCGTTGATAACTGTCATTTGGCAATTATGGCACCTGTCGTGACAAACCATTCAAAAGCTTTCGTGTACGCCCTCGTTTCCAATTCTCCTTCCCACCCTCTCAAACCACCTTGCGCGGAGGGTAGTGTAGCAGCTGCTCGGAATAGAGGTCGCTTCTGATTGGTCGCAGGAAACCATCACATGTCATTCTTTCAATTGTTTTAGAATTGTTTGGGGTCAGGGAAACGCTTCATTGGCGACCTCTCTTCCGAGCAGCTGCTATATGACTCCGCGCGGAAGCCTTCGCGAAACCTCAATCCTTCACAGCCAAAACCAGAAAAGAATTCGAGAATCCATGAACGAAGCGAAGGAAAGAGCTCCGGCTAAACAATAAAGTTACATGAAGATGACTTAAACCTGATCTCTTTGATCCACATCTTCACCACTTTCAAGAAGCATTTTGTCCACTGATAGCAGCCTTGTGTAGAGGGCCTCTTGACGCCTGTTTCAAAAACAGATCCTTTAATCATTGAGAAAATCCTTTACTCTACTTACCTAACACCGGGTTGTCTGTTACGTCATTAGAGGCAACCCTCTCTTCTGAGCCTATTAATTGCGGCCAAAGGCGTACGAGCCGGGAGGGCGAAGGGGGCTGAAGCCCCCCCCCCCCCCCCCCAAAAAAAAAAATTGGGGGCAACTCGGATTTTTGGGGCAGCAAGAGGAAATTTGGGCAAAGCCAGTTTTTAAAGACGTCTCCATGTTTATTTAATTATTTTGAAGTCCTGAATATTAACCTGAAGTCGGCGTAATAATCCAGTTACATTCACAGGAGACAGTGGTTGCCTAGCATGTGATGAGTAATTTACATATTTATAGTTTTTAATTGTTGGGCACTGTACTGCACTGCACTAGCTGGAATGGGCTATTTCCAGTCGTAAATTGATTAGAATACTCGAAGAACAGTGTATGGCAGATAGCATTAGCAGTGGGTCTGAAAATGAAGAAGTGGCTGACTAAGTTGTCAGTTTGAATTACGAGAAGAATCTTAATTCTTTTAAAAAATCGGTTTAAAATTACATGATATTAATTTGAGGAGGACTCGGAAAAAAAAATCCGAGTCCCAGATGGGATTTGAACCCACGACCCTCCGTGATCTAGTCGGATGCTCTAACCACTTGAGCTACTGGAGACTCTATGGTGAGCAAGGGCCAATTTGTGGGTCTGGACTGGAACCGCATCACGCGGCTACACAGCCAAGTAATGATAGGCACACAAGAAGTGAAGAACTCACTAACAGCATCGCGCTGTCACCTTAAAGCATATTCAAGATGCGGCCAACCAACCTCCAAAGTGAGTATATTGAAGATGAAACAACAACAACATGGTATTAATTTGAGGAGGACTCGGAGAAAAAATCCGAGTCCCAGATGGGATTTGAACCCACGACCCTCCGTGGGTTCAAGTGGTTAGAGCATCCGACTAGATCACGGAGGGTCGTGGGTTCAAATCCCATCTGGGACTCGGATTTTTTTTTTTCCGAGTCCTCCTCAAATTAATATCATGTTGTTGTTGTTTCATCTTCAATATACTCGGTTTAAAATTATTCGCTAATTTGTTAAAGTAGACCGAAATGTTTACAAAACCGCTAACAAGAGCGGCTCGATACATACTAATCAAATCCTTCTTTCTAGCAATCGGGTAGAGCTATCTCCACGATCTTTCACACACGTTTTTAAAAAGTTTAAAACTATTATAAGGAGAAATTGCATGTCAAAAGCGCTTTGTTTTCTACAGATAACGGCCAAACATCAAGATTTTCCTTTTCTTACCGTATTTCTAACGATAAAACTTCATCCCAAAATATCTCGATAACGCTCTCACAGATTTTGCTTAAACTTCGCGAACATGGAGGCGTCCGTATTGGAGAAAAAAGCTCCTGTGAACGATTTTGTAAGGTTCCCAGTGCCGAGAATTATTGCTGAAGTAAAATAGTTAACGGCGTCATTACGTTGCTATGACAACCCCGATGTCATTTCAACCCTGATCATGACAAATTTTCCGTCTTAATACAACTGTGGTGGCAATTTTTCCAAATGTGTGTTTATCGCGACGTAGTTTATGTTCAAACTTGGTATTGAGCCTGAAAAAAATGTATCGAGCCACCTTCATACGCTAGTACGGCCTATGTTGTTGCAATATGGCGCTCGTTTGTTTTCGACTCTTTCGTCAAAATTTGAACAACTTGGGCGATTTTTTTGGGCAAATGGCTTACCGCCCCCCCCGGCGAAAAATTTCCTTACGCCTATGATCGCGACTTTTCCAAGGATTTCACTATACCGCTAACTATACTATTTGTATCAAGAGAGGATAAAGGGGACAGAGAAGGCATCCCCCATATACACCCTATTCCATGGGTAATTCGTCTCGAGTTATTTTTAGAATTGGGATAAAGTAACCTCTGCTGCGTGGATGTTTCGTGGAGGTTTCGCATAACTAAACGCCGTGCAAAACATGTCGGGCGAAAGGCAATGAAAGCGTAAAGAGATCAAGAGCATTTCTGAATATTGAAGCGAAATGAGTCGGCGCTCACCTTGGAAAAGGGAATCGCTTGACTCTTTGACAACACGTGAAATCAGTTTAACTCGAAGTTGTCGTAACCTCAGTGCTTTAATAAAATGAGAAACCTCGCCTAGTGTTTTAAGGATTTCCCTGCTGTACTGTTAGCTCTATACAAGAGAGGAAGGACGATTCTTTTTTAATTTCCGTTTCGCTGACACAGCTTTAGCAGAAATCTCTCTGTAGTCGTTTTCGTCGACAAAACGAATAGCAATATCGCTGTCCGCGCCTTCCGCCATTTTGTTCTGCGTCAATTCGTGAAGGACGCGTGGCTCTGAGCGTGGGTTATCCACGAGGAACACATTCGCGCTATATGATTGGCTGTTGTCTAATCCCCCTTGGGATCTGTGGTCTTAAAAATAACTTGAGACGAATTACCTATGGAGTAGGGTGTGTATGGGGGATGCCTTCTCTGTCCCCTTTATCCTCTCTTATTTTGTATCCATATTGATACCAGAGATAATCACCAAATCCTAAGCAGAAGTCAGCCAGCCAGGGCGTTCTACTGTAAAAGGGCTCGCCACTGTATAGTGAGAAATAACAACGCTGCAACTCACCATAAACCCTACACTTGCCACAAGTCGACTGCGTGGGCGCCGACGGCACAAGGGACGAATGCGATTCGCGACTGACACCTAACCACAGAAACTGGGAACGGGCTTTGTGAACGTCTTAATAAGGGGCCGTTCATTTGACTTTTGAGGGAGGGCGGGGGAATTGGTGATTTGGTTTGCGTAGGAATTTTTTTTCCCAAACAACTGGTGGTAAAACTTTTTCCCCTGACATACAAAGCCATTGTATTGCAGGCGTTTCTATGCAAGATTTTTTTCGCTCGAAATCAGTCTTCTACTTACTTCTACTTAAGAAACTGATAAAGCAGAACTCTGCATCACAGCAGTTTACTTAGGCAATAGACCACACTTTCTATGGGTTTACCGGCAGGCTTGATAACCCACGCGGGATGTTGGGAGAAAACGAGAAAAGCTTCTAAATCACGAGCCGAAGGAAAGTGATTTACAAGCTTTTCGCGTACTATCTTAGTTATTTTATAAAAATTAATAACAGTGTCTAATGAAAAATTCATAAAAAAACATCATTATAAAGTTTAAAAGTTTCTACCTAATAAAATAAACACTTAGGTAGAATAAAACTTACAAATTAAAAATTAAAATCACTCTCCTTGCTTAATAAGATGGTTACGGACTGTGGACTTAAAAGTGTCATCGTCATCAATGTTTACTATATTACCGGGTAACTTGTTCCAGTCTTTCATAGACCATGGGAAGAAGCTATTTGCATGCTGATTTCAACTGGAGCGAGGTCTCAGAAATAACATAAAATTGTCATCTCTTGAGGTGTGGGAAAAAGGAGTTAGATACAAATCTCTCTCAAATCACTCGTTTATTGTCCCTTTTGCAGTCAGAAGACTGAATTGTAGGATACCTTACAAGCAGTGATATATATATACTAATACGCAACTTATTGACAAGATTGATATTTAACACTAACAAAATTTGAGAAACGTTCAGCCCTTGTGGCCATGGGCCTGCTAGAACTCCCTGATCTCAGACACTGACTGGTAGATATAAGTACCACTCTGTTGTGTATTAGAGGGTATAATGGGTTACCTGACCGAACCTTACCTATAAATTGCCCGACAGTCAGAAAGAGTGGACAATGCAGCTTTGTCAAGTGCTGCATACGAAATACCAGGCCAAATAATGGAAAGGGCCCTTTTTACACGTTCTCAAGATAGCAAGCAAGATACTTAGGCAAGTCAGCAAAGGTAGCGGAGGCGTACTCTAGTACACAGCGAATTAGCACACGGTAGATATGAGCAATATCAGCGATAATGTGAAATCCACTATATCAATGCCAACATTTCTGTTGACAACACGATGGAACATAGTCAATCGAGAGAACTTCCGCCTACCCTCAAGAGAGGGCCATTCTAGTTTCTCCAGCATGTTGGTTACAACACCTGGCTGTCGTGAGTAATTACTAAATCAGCATGTAGCAGCAGAACGGTGAACAATGTCTAGCTGATACTTATATTTCTGAAGATAGGGATACCATGCAGAACTAGCATATTCTAGTTTAGGTCTTAATTACTAGGCTACAATAAAGTTTAGATTTACATCGTATGAAGGTGTGTCTAAAATTCCTCCTAATAACACCAAGAGTCTACTTAGCACTTGAGGACATTTGCGCAACATGATTGAGTATGATGAGAGTATGATGCCCAGAAATGAATGGTGGTAGTCCCTATTCAATATATGACTATTAAGAATGTATGGTGTAACAATATTCTTCAGTTTTATAGAGAGGGAGATTGCATGGCATTTTTGCTATGTTAAATGACATTTGCCAGTCTTCAGTTTATTATTTTCTGAAATCACCCATACCCATCCTAAAAAGTCAAATGGTCGGCCCCTAAACTCCTTTCTACTAAGTTACCAACTTGGCATTTTCAAACCGTCTATTAAGTGAAATGCACAATATCTCACAGAACTTACTAAAGCCAGTTCCAGGCTCTCAGATAGTAAGGATGACGCGTACAATTGAAAGGTACCCGAAAATAGTTCTGACACTTACTTTTGCCTTCTCAGCTCTCTCCATGGGGGTAAGGACCAGTTTCTTGTCCTAGGATGGTAAACATATATTTAAAAACAGATCTGCAGTATTTCAAAAGCCGAAAGTTATTTAAGAGGAACTTCTAAATGCAAAATATGACTGGCAGGATCTTCGTGTATTCACACACCTTACATACGACTGACAGAGCCTGCTTCTTGTCCTAGGATAATAATAAATAAATAAATGGATAAATAGATAAACAAATAAATAAATAAAAATTAATTTATTGTGCCACTACTGGTATTTGTTTGGTATAAAGCTTCCATCCAATTTAGAGCTAACGAGCAACTCTCCCTATTCACCATTTTGTTTCAAGTACCATCTAACACGGCACCTCTTCAGGTTACTATTATGAAATACAAGGTCCAAAACCAAAAGTTCCTTGATAAAAATTGGCTGCCTTGTTACATTCCTGCTTGATTATATCGCCAGTTTCACCACTCCCCAAAGAAAATATACTTGTATTCTCTAACGCTACGCTCAGCCGAATAGAAAACAAGAGACAAAACAACAAAATGATGAATACAGTCAACTCTCTCTTAACGGACACATCTATAAGACGGACACCTCTGTAAAACGGACACCTAGAGTTGGTCCCTGCCTTTCTTTGCTCCCTCTATTAAGACGGACATCTCTTTAAGACGGACAGCTAGTGCCGGTCCCAAAGGTGTCCGTCTTAGAGAGAGTTGACTGTATAGGCCATTATAGGGAGTCACCCCCGGGGGTTATAAGTATGAATTGACAAAACAACACAGTGATGGATGGAGGGAACCGCCAGCAATCTAGTTTGTTACACCAACAGGACTAGAGTAACAAAAAAATCACCAAAATATAAGGGATATATGCAAAAAATAGGATACAAAGCACTAAGAAAAGCCAGATTTAAGACACATCATAAGCGCTAACAAGATATGCTGAGCAAAAAAAAATAACAAAGTAAACGGAGTCAGATCATTTTAGAAAAGGGATGCAAACGAAATAGTACAAATTAAACGTAGGTATACTTATAAACCTCATACGTAAGAAACCGAAAAAAGCAGCCACGAGAAAACTGGTAGGCGTCAAGTGGTGCGGAATTCACAAGGAGTGGCTTATAAACGGTCTAATGTTCAAAATGGGAAAAAATGCACCTTATTTGAGTGTCAATGCATTTAGCAAGAAAGTACCAATTGGGGACAATATTTTTATGTCTCCTACTGGAGACGATACCGTCATTTTACATGGTCATCCGAGGTCCAGCAAGAGAGAGGTCCAGGGAAAAGGCAGTACCTTCATTTCTCAGACATTTTAAGACCCTGAGTGTTGGTCCGGTCCCGGGATTCAAACCCGCGACCTCCCGCTCTGCAGTCAGGCGCTGGTATTTGTTTGGTACAAAGCTTCCACCCAACATCAACCTAACAAGCCGCTATGTGAGCGTACACTTCGTCGTCGTGGTTGTGGATTAATCGTGAATGCGGAGGATTAGTAAGAAATTAGATTTTTCAGGATACCCTTCCTTACAAGTACCCTTACTTTTCTCCTTTTGTGTAACAGACGTCTTTTAAAACTCTACACCTTCTCCGACAACGTAACTAGCTAACATCAGTACACTCCCTTAAAAAAACTTGCTGAAAATGCACAATCTGGATTTAGAAAAAAAAAACGGCAGTACAGCCTGTTATCCTTGCTTCGGGCCGTAGTGCGGAACAGAAACTTTGATCTATCGGCAAGGAATTTAACCGGCAAACCAATAAATTTGGGTTTTCCATGGTGTAAAACGATTTCCAAGCAAGAAAAAAAAAACGAAAAAGCGGCCACGAGTAGACTGGTCGGTGTCAAGTGCTGTGAAATTTACAGGAGTGGGTTGTAAAGAGTCTAATGATCCTCATGGGAACTGAACTAAACAACGTAAACAACAACTAAAAAAATACATTTGAGCTTACTTCACTCCTCCTTGTATCCTCTTCCTGATCTGAATCAACTGTTTGAGATGAAGTTTCGGAGATACTTGCTACTCCTAGTAATCAAAACAGTAGTGTCACCAGCAACAAGATACCAATTATAATGGCCTGTAAAACTTGTTTTAAGCGGGTACCCTCTGGGAAAGCTTTAGTGGTTGGTTAATGCATGATGTCCGCCTTACAAATAGTACTTCCAATAGAGAGGAGAAGTCGTTACGTCACATTGCTATGGTAGCAAATTTTCTGGATGACAACACATCGAAAACGTCATTTTAATTTGTCAAATGTTGGCGAAATTTTCTGGGGTTCAATTTGAAAGTTACGAACAAGAAAAAGAAAAAGAAATTTTTGTGTTGTGTTCACCTACTCCATAAAGCGGGCGCGTGAAATTTTGAAGTTTCGTGCCGCAGTCGTGAAACGACGGCTAAGAAATCTATTCAAAGTAGACAGACTGCAAATCATCTTAGTCGCTAAAAAATATATATCTACGTGTCGCAACTGTTCATCAGTAGGATGCCTAAAATGCGTGCAATTCCACAATTGGTTTCGGCCCATTAAATCCTATACCAATTGCAGAACATTTTAGGAGGAGCCACCCACCATGTGAGACAGCGTGGCATGAGGCACGTGCAGAGTTGTTGTTCTGCTGTTGCTTGTTCGCCGTTGTTATTGCCTTCGCCATCGGTTAAACTCCCTAATAAGTGTGATCCACAAATTCTGTTACTATGGTAACGTGACGTCACACTTCTCCTCTCTTTTAGCATAAGGAATAAATCTGCTCAAATCCAATGTTGGCAGTTTTTGTTTATTTCAACAAAAAGGTTCTTTCTAGTCATCCTTTACGTTTTACCTTAGGTTTCCGCTTTAAAATCCGTAAAATTCTATTCAACAAATACGGAACAAATTACCACAATTTCTATTTCTCCCACAAAAACCCTTCCCACTTTTTACATCCGGGGACTATAATGTAAAACTGTCAATCGATACGTGCGAACTTAACTTCCTGCGCGATTTTGCACTCTTTACTTAAATTGAAAATAAAAATAATACTGAAGACTTTACATTGAAATTTCTACTTTCTGCTCAGTAGAACAGAAAGGAAAGGGCTGTAGATAGGAAGAAACTAGGCCATTTCGCCTGTGAGCCTCATAAGCTGTGCAGCTCAGTCAGATGAAACAGGAGCAAGAACATAAGTGACAAAGAAGAAGCATGCTACACAGCAATCCTAATCCATTTAACTTACATGTAGGAGGTGCATTCGTCAATAGCTAATGTTGTTGACCTCCCTAGTCTCCGAATGCCCCCTTTATCATTTCATGATTTGTATGCATAATCACATGATTTCGAGTGCAATTTGGAATAAATAAGCACGACTAAAAGACCAACAAAAGTGCACGAGCCCGTAGGGCGAGTGCACTTTGTGGTCTTTGAAAAATTTAGAAGTGCTTATTTATTCCAAATTGCAAGAGAAAAATCATGTGATTACCTATACTACTGGTAATAATATACACGAAAAACATAACTACAACAACGAAGTTTGACAGCGCACGCGTTTTTAGTTCATTCAACTGATTGTCTGAAACAGACTACTACCTTTGTCAAATTCAAACTTTTTCAAGACCAACGCTTTCAAAATCATTCAGCTAAGAACTTGGAAATGTGCAAGGATTGATTTTATATGGTCACCAGCCTGTTAAAGATAACTTGGTTTACAATAATCAGCAAAAGTAAGTGTTTTTAAATTCATCCTCGATTATGAGAGCTCGGCGTTTACAAGAAGCGTTTACAAGAAGTATACTGCCGTTTTGAAATCAGGAGAACGCTTCGCGCAGCCAAAGATGAGAGACACTTACTTAGGTTTCTTAACGACTGTTCATCATTGTCTGTTCCTGAGACCCCATCATAGCTGGATTCATGGAGAAATTTTTGAGATTTCAAACCCGAAAATGAAGGAGGCAATTTGTTCTCTTTCGACGCTGCCATCGATGGGTGAGTGGAGCCACAGTTGCTGTGATGTCGGAAACTGCCAGTATTAATATAATATTTGCTTTTTCTCACCGCTGGGGTTTTCATTATTTCATTAGGCCTACTGCAAGAGTCATCGTACGTAGCTCTTCTTCGTCGGCTTTATCGTAGTCGTTAAGGAAGTTTATACCTGTGTGGCCTGTGACGTTGGCGATATATCCTGAACTTACAATCTTTGCTTTCTTCAGCTTCCTGACTGTTGTGTTTCTTGCACAATGATTCGTAAACTTTTTTCTCACTTTCTTTAAGGCTAGTACTGACTACGGATACCTTCATTATGTTA